GCTCCAGTTATTCATTCGCTTGACAGTCTTAGCCAATCACAAAATCATCCTCATCATGAGTAAAATGACGTGCCTATCTGGTCCTTCTAGGGCATAGTTATACAGAGAGGTACTGTGGAAATATGAACGGCTTCCAACGTAGAACCACGTACCATTAGGGATAACTCGCCCCGTGAATTCGCATTGCCAGAGACTCAACCGGAGAGAGGATAACAGATGTGGCATTGAACATGTGAGTGTCTACTGAACCTCTTTGGGATCTTCGGGCAAACCCCAGCACAACGATGGTTGCCCGCCGGTTATGTGAACAACCAGCGCTTAAAAACGCCATGCAGCTCAGCTCCTGCAACGATCCCCGGTCGGCACCAGATATGAAACGCACACCCCCGCTGTTTCTAGAGTGCACATTGGACCATGCTGGGTAAAGCTGCAAGTTCCCGCCGAGCCACCGCCACGAGGCGGCAGGCCTCACCATTTCCCTCTTCGCGTTACCCTCCATCTCCATGCTTTCTGCAGGGGTTGACCACCGACCTCGAGCCTCCCTCATCAAAGGACGTGCACGCCAGGTAAGGGAAAGTCTGCCTACACAAACGCGAGCGCCTGGCCGATATGTGGCTGAAGGATCTGGTTACTGTTGTGGCTTGATCCTGCCGCGTCATAGGGGGTCGTCCTCCTGAAGAAGATAACGGACAGGGACGCGACGTTCTCAACCCGTCAGCTGGCAGATTAGAGGCGGGCAGCCCTGCGTCGCTCGCAACCGCATATTAATAGAATGTACGCCATGTTACCTGATTGCCTACCCCATCTCCCGCACCTGGCTTCAAGCAGGCTCAGTACCTAGGTCTAGTAACCCCACACGCACCAGATCTCTTGACCCTTTTGGTATTTCCATCAACATCAGGTAACGCAGGTATTCGAGGTGCACTTGCACACAAACAACAAGCAGCCTCTCCAACATGATTGGCATCGGCGTAGGCGACATCATCAAGCTGACAGAGCACGCCTGGGCGCTATACAAGGGGTACAAGGAGTCGTCCGCCGACTTTGCGCAGCTCGCGACCGAGCTGCAGTCGCTGTACGTGGTGCTCGCCGAGATCTCGGACTTTATGCGAGAAAACGATCATGATGATGGCGACAACGGCGGAGAGAATGTCCTCGAGGCGTCACGCCGGAACCGGCTCTCAATCTTGACCGACGGGTGCCGCGACCTGTTGCGGGACATGGAGGCGCTGTATGTGCGCTACGAGAGCCTCGGGACGCGGCAGCAGCGGACGTGGGACCGGACAAAGTGGGCGACGCAGGAGGGCCACGTGTCGCAGTTGAGGGGTCGGTTGGTCAGCTCGACTACGCTCTTGACGGCGTGGAATGTGGCCGTCATCAAGTGTGTCTTTCCTTGTCTATCTCTCCCGAGATACTGCCTAAGCTTTGCATGTGCTTTTGGGTTAATGTCTGGAGCGTTTATCTGACTGCGAACAGCTCGTCAACAGCACGCATCAACAAGCGGCTTGACAAGTACATCGCCGAAGTCCGCGCCGGACTGCGCGAGGGATCCGTCGTCACGGCGCCCGACGCCGCGCAGAGCATCGAGTCGCCCGACGTGTGGAGCGAGCTGCGGCGGGAGCTCGAGGATATTGGCATCAGCGCTGCGGTGATTGAGGAAAAGAAGGAGTACATATTATCTTGGTTCCGGCAGCAGCTTGCCGAGAGCGGGCTGGACGAGGCCTGTGACGAAGCACTCACCCTGGCCTCGTGGAGCCCGGAGATGGGCGTCCAAGCTGCTGCACCGCTCTGGAGCGACTCCGGGTACGGCGGCAGCGAGACATGGTCGTCCACTCGAGGGAGCATCTCGCAGGAATCGAGCCTAACTGTGGCGAACCAGGCGTTTGAGGAGGAGCTGAAGCGTCATCGGATCGAGTGGCCGCCCGACGAGGGAGGAACCCTCCGGCAGACAACAACGTCCAGCACCGGCACCGTCTCGGTCAAGGCCAGGAAACGCTCGACGCCCATCGGCATGATCCGGAAGCTGTTCAAGAACGACACGGAGATCGTCCAGGCCGCCAGCGACGGCGACGTCGAAAAAGTGGCCAAGCTGATCAGCCTTGGCATGGACGTCAACGCGCGCGACCGGTGGGGGTGGTCGGCGCTGAGCATGTGCGGCTACGGCGGGTACAAGGACATTGCCAGGCTACTGCTCGATCACGGCGCCGACTTGGATAATGAAGACGTTGATGGCGACACGCCCACGAGCTTAGCGGCGCAGCGGGGACACACGGAGCTCGTGCTCCTGTTCGACCGGGAGAGGGAGGCTAAGGACCAGAGGGTCAGGGAGATGGATAAGGAGGTGCCTAGGAGGTCAGTCCCTCTGTGTTTGGTGGAATTACTGCTTGCTAACAATTGTCGTTGGGGTCATAGGGTTGCGACTTGAGGTGGGATGTGATTTTGATACGGTTATTCTTCCATTTTTGTTCACCGGTTTGGTTGTAATGGCTTGATATGACACTTCTGATACGAGCCATGATTTGGTACTAAATGTATTCATGAGAAATCATGCGAGATGCGACCGCCTATTAACTACGTTCCTGTCAACCATTAGTACTACATGTGCGCACTCTTCAGCTCCCTCCCCAGTTGACTCTTAAGACCTCCCTTTATAGAACTCTACAATCCTCATCCCAGTACTCTCCCCACTAAGATACGCCCCAGCCACAGTCCCACACTCCTCAAACGGCGCGGCATGCTCACCACAAAACCATAGCCTCCTCTCGACGCACCCTTCCCGGAGGGCGAGCACGTCCTGGTCGGCCGCCTCCACCCCGACCTGGAAGTTACAGTAGCTCGCGTTCCCGCTCAGCTCGTCTTTGAACCACTCTGTCGCGAGGATGGCGCGGGGCCTGCAATCGGGGTCCACGGCGTCGTACCCGGGAAGCTTGGAGTAGTAGGGCCGGAAAAAGTCGTCTAGCAGGCGATGCTTCACGTCGGCGGCCTGACCGTGGATCAGATCGACGACGTGCCGCGCGCAGTCTCCGTAGAGGTAGAACAGAATAGTTGGATGGTTGTTTGGTTCCGCAAACGACGACAGGTCCCAGATCTCTTGGGGCCATTTGGATGGGTTGGTGGAGGGGGCGTAGCTGGGGGTAAGCCAGTTGGTGTAACATGGGAATTGATCCGTGTGGGTGCAGTGTTTTTTCCAGAAAGCGGCGGGGAAGTTGATGAAGACCTTCTCGAGTTGAGAGAGCGAGATGTTGGCTATCGCGTCGTTAAGGCGCGGAGGGAGCGGCGGGTTGAAGACGGCGGTGTGGTTGCGCTTCAGCCAGCCTAGGGGTGTCGTCATGACAACCTCGTCGAAGGATAGAGTTTGTCCATAGGAGGTGGTGACGGTTACAGCTTGGCGCTCTGAGTTCGAGGGGGCGTGATGAAAGGAGACGCCGACAACGCACGTGTTGAGGTGGATGGTTGCGCCGTCGAGGGCGGGCTTGGCGGCAAGCGCGAGGATAGACGAATAGTTGGATGCGACAAACATCTCCTCTAAGGGATATCTGGGTTAGAAGATTCCGAGAGTAAAACCAGGGGCATTCTCACCTCCACCACAGCACTCCTCCATCCAAGCAAAGCGTAGGCTTTGTTTCCACACGGGCTCGCCAACGTATGCCCCAAACATCTCGCTCATGTGCACTAACAGCTCACGCTCGTTCTCATCGCTGATGACCTCGTGAGCTTTTCGTCGGATGAAATCCTGCAACGAGTCGTTGATTGGAATCTCCTGGCCTCCGTCCCTGTCATGGGCGGCCTTGCTGAACTCAAAGGCCTGTTCAATGATCTCCCATAGGGTAGTCGACAGACGCTCTGTTAAGTCATCCGGGAGCTTGTTGCCGCTCGGGTCAAAGAGCAGTTGCTTGTTGTTCCAGTGATGCAGCGGTGTGTTCGTTTCTGTGGCTAGTTTGTGGATGGGGTGAGGTGCTTCGGCGTCGCGGTAGGCATGGATCCAGTTTGGGCCACTGCCTTCGTTAGTTGTTAATTCAAGGCCTGAAGGTTGTGGTCGGCCAAGGCATTCACATATCGGCCGTGTATCCCAGTTTCCCTGACTGGCAGACCTGCGACCGGGCGTAAGCGAGGTCCCATGGCGGGGCGGAAGCAGAGTGACATACCCGACCACCTATTCTGTCGCGTGCTTCGAAGATGGTCACCTTGAATCCGTGAGAAAGAAGGATATCGGCACACCGCAGCCCAGATATACCGGCGCCAACAACGCAGACATGGGTTTTCTCCATCGCCACCGGTAAAAAGACGATATTCCCTTGCGTTCGATCAGATGCCAGAGTTTCTCTCGTTGCGACGTTGTCGCAGAAGCAATTAAGCAGGCGCTAGATGCTGGGGGATTCCACGCTTGACACACGGTGTCACGGGTTCCCAGAGCGTCGTTTGGTGTGAGCTGTGAGCCAGGACCTACTGGCAACTCGGAGGGATGAGCAATAATTATGCCTTATGCAAGGGTGAAAGTGGGGTTGGTTCATTGTTGGTGAGGCATTTCGTAGGGCAGACCACCGCAGCTGCAGCTGCAGCCGGAGCCCGCCACGCAGCTGTCAACAGACCTTTTCATGTTCAGCTCAGGCCTCCCGCCCTTTCCAATCGAGCAGCACTTCCTGGACGACGTACTTTGACTGCACCATCTCCATCTGAAATTCCGCAGTCAAGCCGAGAATCTGAACTCTCAGTTTTCGCCATTTTTGCCTGTCGTGAACCTCAGCTGGAAGGCCGTCCTCCAGCAGGGCCAACTTGCCGACGCCGAGAACCAAGTCAAGCACCAACTGGCACGAGGCGTGAGCCCACTCAAGTATCGGCCTCACCTTATGGAAAGACCCTCCTGCATGCGACCGCCGTTACAAACAACCTGCCAGTTGCGCGACTTGCAGTCTCGTTGGGCGTCCCAACGACGCTCGTGCGTATTCTCGGAGCAAGAATGGTCGAGCTGGGAAACGAACTGTGGGACGGACAGTGCTGTTCTACGCCATCAGAAACGCAAACTATTCCATGATTAGCATCCTCCTAGAATCCGGGGCGTTCGATATTAGATCTGAGATTGGCGAGACCTCGCTCATGGTTGCGGTGAGACGGCGAGGAGAGGACATCTTTTGGCTCTTGATCGAGTTTGGCTGCTGCCCTGCCACTCCTCCCCTGCGATGTCCACCTGAGTCCATCGACCACCTGCTCGCTCAAATGATGTCCCCGCCGGCTCTGATAAGGTACCCGGAAATTTTCCTCTTTCAATCGTTCGATCCCAGGCTTTCTCAGCCGAGGACCGCGGGCTTATGTGCAAGATGCCTGGCAAGTTTTCCCGGCGCCAAACCGGCTGTTCAAGAGGCCTGGCGAGCCGAACGACCATCTAGAATAGGCAAATGGATACCCGTGGAAGATGCCTTCAGCCACGGGTTTCTCAGGCGTTGCAGGATTTGCAGAGAACCCATTGTCGAGTTACCGCCCCCGTTTGACGCAAGCCATGGATCCGAAAAGAGGGCCATCACCTATTCTGCCCTCCGAGTACCCCAGCTAGGTTAGTGCAGAGTGCTATTATCCTTCCATCTCCGTAAGAAGGTACCCAAGGACGGGCAGTTTGACGGAGTGTGTGAGCCAGCTTTGCACCGGCACGAGGTATGCTGTTGGCATGGCACGCCTAAGGAATACCGCCTCAGACTATACTGAACGGGATTTGATGGTTTCTACTGTACTGACAGCTCTCTGCCCAGCGGACTTCCTCCCGCTCCAGAACCTCCGTTCAAGCTTGCCGGGACTAGAAAACGCCGGCCCCCGTTGCGCACTCTGCTGCCGGCTTACTGGCTTCTCCGGTGCCTCTAGTGTCACCCGGAATGCGCCAAAGACATGGAGCGGCCGCTGCTCCCAACTTGGGTAATAGACGGTGGTGTCGACAACGAAGGAAGCCCGGCCCAACTTGTGGAAAGCGGTGGCAACCAGAACGACACGCATTGCACCCTGAACTATCGATGGAGTACCGGGCCCGTCACCCAGACTCTCGAAAATCTGTCTGCTTTCAACCGGGCCCCCCCCATTGCTGGCCTGCCGCTAACCGTCCAACACACCATTTACCTTGCTCGCTGTTTCGGATTCAAGTATATCTGTGTTGATGCACTTCGCATTATCGAGAAGTCCGAGGATGAGTGGACCATAGAGGCTGCCAACATGGACAAATATAGTCGAATTCTACCCTCACCATTGCCGTGGCTCGGGCGGACACCCCAACACGGAGTCATCATCCCGACGCCTTGTTTGGGGCACGCAATCTGAGCAACTTTCAAAAAGAATAGCGTCCCCGCTCCGAGCTGGACTCGCGCGGATGGGTGGCGCAGGAAAGCATACTTTCCCGGCGGATACTAAACCTTCACTAACAGAGGCATATAACGGTTCTGCGGGAAGTGGAATTGCTCCAAAGGGTGCCCAGACGGCATAAAAGATTGGGACGAGGGCCTCGCGCCCCCTACCAGACTCATCCGCTCCGTGCGAGCGAATGCTCACCAGATACGAGGGTAGAATGCGCACTGGCGGCCGTACTCGAGGACTATACACGGCGGCACTTCACCAACGAGTCGGTCCAATTCGTCGCACTGCAGGGGATTTCTGGTTGTCTTCTTTTTCTCCGAGCGCCTTCCGGATAGGATGGCGGCGGGGAAACGGTAAATACACTGGAAACAGTGGCTGGCGTGGTACAGTTGCCCCTCTCCCCCTCGCTGCCCCGACCGACCACCTAAGCGGCGCCCAGCTGGTCATGGACTTCGGTCATGACCGCGGTCGACCACCATCTCTGGCCCGAGGTCGAACACCTTGCCAACCTTGAACTGGTGAACGAAAATGTGGTCCCCATTGATAAGGGGGTTTGTAGTGTCCATCACTCTTATGGGTTCATTAATACCAGTCGTCTTTGACGGCGACAAGGTGCGCTTCGTCCCGCTGGAAGAGCCACAGCGCGCCAGACTTTTTGAGCCTGGCATTCCGCAGGATGAGAAACACCTCGACGACCTGGAGCTAGGCGGGGAATGGCGGCTTGATGCGATTTACTACCAACGCTTCAACGGGTTTGCGCTGAATACAGGGGGGTTGTGCTTTGGGCATGGTTGTACTGGACTTGGAGGCGGGGAGTGGGTTTATGTGTCTAAAATGCCGACTTGTCTCGATCCTTGGTATGTTGCTTCAAGTATGGGAAGTTGAAGAACATTGTTCCCATTAGTTACCTTGGTGTAACCTGTTTGTGCTGGGGACATAAATCCGCGAGTTGCCAAGAATTGTTGCTTCATGGTTAGATCGTCGAAGAGTAATCCGTACTCGTTATCGGACATTGCTTTGTGGGGCCAAAGCAGCATTGGTGCACTAATCAACTCAGCAGCATAGAGTACCATATAATCTTGTTTACTAAACACTTACTCTTCAATGTAGGAGACAGGACTCTAGCTCCACCCGCGGACCCGTTAATAATCTGGCGGAAACATATGTATTAAGGAGACTGAGTAAGCAACCAGGAATAACATTAGGCGACTAGTGTATAGGTAGTGACGGTATTTAAAGCTCCTTCTAGCCACGTCTTCTTGTGCTTTGTCTCATCATCACTTCTGTCATATACCCACCCCTTCATTGCAACTCAGCTGCAAGTTCCAATTCGGCACCACCCAACGATCCAACCCAACTCAAGGTCTCCATTCTTCGAAAACCACTTCCACTTCTCAACCCCAACCGCAAGCCAATTTGCCTCGTCTGTAACAATGGCCACCCACACCAACCACAACCAAGGCTTCGCCCCCTCCACGTCGGGCACCACCACCACCCCCTCCAAGTTCCAAACCGTCCTCCTGATTGGCGCAACTGGCTCCATCGGCTCGTACATCCTGCGCGCGCTCCTCTCGGAGCCCTCGCTGACCGTCACCATCCTCACCCGCGCCTCCTCCAAATCCATCCCGTCCCTGCCTCCCAATATCACCACCACCAACCAAGTCCGCACCATCACCATCGACGACACCTACCCGACCGACGCCCTGCTCGCCGCCTTCCGCGGCCAGGACGCCATCATCTCGTGCCTGACCACGCTCTCGGTGGCAGACCAGTTCCGCATGATTGACGCGGCCATCGCCGCGGGAGTGAAGCGCTACGTGCCGAGCGAGTACGGACTCAACAACATGCGCGCTGACGCGCAGGGCTTGAATTCTGTGTTTAGGAACAAGGGAGCTGTGCAGCAGTATCTGCGCGACAGGGTGGACCAGATCGAGTGGATGAGCGTCAGCTGTGGGATGTGGATCAAGTGGTCGGTGAGGAATGACTTTCTGGGGTTGAGGGTGAGGGAGAGGAAGGTGGAGCTGTGGGATGATGGGGAGGGGAGGTTTAGTGTCATGACGGAGGAGAACACGGCGTTGGCGGTGGTGAGGGGGTTGGTGGCGTTTCCGGCGGAGACGAGGAACAGGAATGTCTTGGTGGAAGAGTTTGTTACCACCCAGCGGGAGCTGGTGGGTGAGATTGAGCGACAGATGGGGTGGAGGTTCGACGTGGCACGGGTGGACAGTCGGGCGAGGATTGCCGAGTTGCAGGCGGCGGTGGAGAAGGGCGATGCGACGGCCACGTATGGGCTTATCGAGGCCGGTTTCGTGACGGGGCGGTATGGTGGTGATTTGAGCAAGGAGGGCGAGATTATGACCGAGAAGCTGGGCTTGAAGAGGCACTCGCTGCAGGAGGTTGTCGCGGATGCCCTCGCCAGCTTGCAGTGAGTTGCAGACTTGTTTTGGGTATAGCGATATGAAGACTGCTCTTGCAGAAGAAAGTGGCACTACCATATCCTTCGACGTTCCAGTTATATTTTCAAGTTGACCCAGAATCGCATATCCGCAACAATAAGTTCTTGGTTTAAGCCAATGGCATATTGACTCGATGTAATGCAACAAACTCCGATCTCGATGGCACGAGCAAACAGCTTGACAGTGTTGCTGTCAAGCAGAGCAGTCACGTTGCTCGCGAGACTGCGGAGCAGTTGGACTCATTGGAGAGAACTTTTGAAGTCGAAAGACCCCTGATTTTTCTACCAATAACCCCTCTGAAATATTGCAAGCAAACCCTACCTTTGCCCAGAACCGGAAACAGCTCTGAAGGAAACGATTCGTTCAGGTGTGGGAATGGAACTGTTATAATGACCCTTGCTGCCTACGAAAAGCCGTTTATATGTACTTAATTTTCTTCCGCGTGCAAGTACCGCCGTATCTCGCGGTGTCCTTCTCGAGAAGCAGCGGGGTTTCTTCATGCCTTAGACGACGTGTCCCCCAAACCGGACATGATCAACGTCACCTACGCCGGGGCTTCACAAGCTCCTATCCTGCCACAACCATGTAAACTGTAATAAATCTTGGTTTTCTATATCTCCTCAGCCGATCCTGGACTGGCTGATGGACTCGGGGAAACTGCCGATGTATAGTCTGGCCAGGAGGCTGGTGTAACGGTCTCAGGCAGTATATTGCAACTAGCTGATGACGACTCTACGAGTACACTGAACT